GATCTGTAAGAAACAAAGTGAGAGTGGAGATTACTTTTTTAATCCAAGTCTAATACTTCAGCGCTTACGAGTCTTCAACATGAACAGTGAATTCTCTGTGCCAAGAAGAAACATTTCTTGAGGTTTTCACTTGGTGCTGCTAAGGTAGTTTCATGACCTGTGAGTGGAATTTCAGTGCATTTTGCCTTTTTCATGTTAAAAGGTAAAGCCATCATTGGTGCTACAGGGAGAAAAAAATTGTAGATGTTATGCTGGTATAAAACGTTTAACTGTCTTTTGAATTCAGTTATTCATTCTGACTCACTGCTCTTCAGCAATGAAGCACTTTTTAAGGACACCATGCAGAGATGAAGTGGATTCACAAAGTTTGAAGTTATCCCTGCAGTTCAGATAAAATCGGGCATCCATTTTACTAGGCCCAAAAACAAACGGCCACCAACCAGCCTGGAATCCAGTTGCTCTACTGTTAGTACAGTGTCCATTTAGTTTCTTGATTTAGAATTAAATCTCACACCCTCTTCCCTCCCAGGAACAATCAGCATTACTGTAACAGTGGGCAACTACATAAGAGTAAAGCTTTCCTGCATTTGTTTTGCTGGTGCTTGAAAAGGAGAGCTGTCCCTGAGCTTTGGCTCAGCTCCAGCAGTACAGCTGCTGCATCAAACCTTGAGCCCTGTGTCACTTTTCCTGGTTTTTTAAAGCTGGCCTGTTACAAGATGCTATTGTTCAGAAGTTCCTGCAGGTCCTTTCTGTACTGTTCAGAGCTGTGCCTGTTAACTTGAAGCATTCCTGTATGAGCTCCCAACTGCACCTCTCATTCAGTGCAGCTGGTTACTGGTGCTGCAGTGAAACTGAATTGCCTCAGTTGCGCTGTTGCGTGTGAGACCCTGCCTCTTGCTGGCTTTCCAGTAGAACTGTGTGTTGCTCCCTCTCTGTTCACACTTCCCTTCTTTAGTAAGGTATTGGAGGAATAGATGAGAAGTACTTTTTTTTTTCTTTTAAAATAAAGTATTGTAGCATAGTTTTTCAAATTTTCCATGAAAATGTTCTGCCCTTCCTCTCCTCAAGCTTAAACGTTCCTTCCTAGTCCCCTGAACCAGCTGTATTCTTTTACTACAGTGTGTGTTACCAGTATTGCTCCTCCTTTGTGTTGGGTCTTGGAGAATGGATCCACCTGACAGGTCATGGATAACAGTAACCAGCAATGCTGCTGTACCAACTCTGCTACTGACAGTAGGAACAGCGACTGCACAGATGAGGGAAGGTGATCTCCAAACACCGAGTGCGTAGCTGGAGGAAAAGGATATTCTCCTTTTAGCAGAAGGACTGCTAGTACCACGAACTTTCTTGAACTTCTTAAATTTCCTTACAAAGATGAAAGAAGTGCAAGATATTTAAAGAGCAAGTGCAGAATTTTAAAGCCAGCTTTTGAAGTAAAGTCAGTTTAGTCAGCTGTTCCTGGGCAGTTGTTGCGTTGAGGATACTTTGTGCATTTATTTTAGGTATCAAATGAAGTAGTTAGGAGTTCACTACATCGAGGACCTAAACTCTGTCAGTTTAGCTCCTCGCTATTAATTCAGGGAGTTAACAGGCCCTGGTGCATTTCTTCTGTTGGTGCGTACTGTGTTCTGCCCTCGCAGAGGCGGAAGCTGCGTTTTGCTGTGAGTACACCGCCTTGCCAGGCGTCCGGAGCCGGGCGCGGTGCGCTGTGTCCCCCGCTCCGCCCGCATTCCCGGGAGCGCTCCCTGGGAAGGGGAGCCGGCCCGGGCAGCGCGGGTTCAAACCGCTCCCTCCCGACACCCCCCGCGATGGGCCCTCGGCGCCGCTCATTGGCTCTGCCGCGGGCACCGCCGGCTTCCTATTGGCGGGGCTGCCGCGGCGCCCCGCCCCCAGCCGCGGGTGGCG